AAAGGATAACGCAAAGGACATCATTTATCATCCTAAAACACATATAAAGTGTACTATTGTCTAATTTTTACACTTTATATGAGTTCTTTTTACTAATAATTAATATGTTAGTAAAAATTGTATACAATTTTAGATAAATATAAACTCAAGTTATATAAAATTTTAGATAATTTTAGATAAATATAAAATTATATAAAATTTTAAATAATTAATATGTTAGTAAAAATTGTAAAAATTGTATATGAGTTCGTATTAATTGCAAATTAATTAATTTTATTGCAAGAATTACATATTATGTCATTCAATACAATTATGTACGTGTTTCTCTTATTTATACATTTCTTATGTATATATTTCTTATTTACATATTTTCATGTCATTCATTTGATACTTTGGTTTTTCTGAATTACAGGTATTATGGCCAACAATGAGGAAACACCACATGATGGAAACGAAACAACAAAAGACATTGAAGGCGATATCAAAAGAGGAATAACAATTATGAAAAAAATCATCCGTGCGAAAGATAAGAGTGTTAAGTATGATGTGCATTGGAATGAAAGAGATCAATTAGTTGAGCCTAACGGTGCGATGGTGACAAGTTACATTGGAGCACTTGTACGTTCGCAAATTCCGATTACTTGCGATAATTGGAGAATTGAGTCGCTAAAACCGGCTAAAGACAAAATTTGGAGCGAGATACAAGTATGATACTTGATTATTTTTAATTATGTTGACGGTTACATCTTTAAATTAATTATACTAACATGTTATATGTATGTGTATTTGTTTGCAGAGATCTTTTAATATTGATGATTGCAGAAGAAAATATTGTCTTCAATTGGCCGGTAAACGACTGAGGGGATTCAGAGCGTTTTTAACAAACAAGTTTCTCAAAGATTCTGATGGAAACTTTGTTGACTCGGAGCGTCCAAAGAAGTACGTTGATCTGATTTCGGAAGAAGAATGGGAGACATTTGTTGCGAAGTGAAGAACCAAAGAATTTTTAGTAAATACAGCTTATCATGAATAATGTATAGTATATATACTTCTTCCACAAGAGTTCTGATATGACTTAAACTTTTTTTTCCAGGTTGTGAGTGGCGTTAATTGGCAACGAGCATCAAAACCCGCGTATCCATACAAAAAAGGGTGTTTGGGATATGCACGCTTAGAACAAAAATTAGTAAGTATATATAAATGCTTTAATATGATATAGTTACCAAAATTAGTAAGTATATATAATAGGATATGAATGGTTTATTATCCGTCTTAATGTGCAGATAGAAGAGGAGAAAAGTGATGTGACATCTCTTCCGGACCATGATGTGTGAAAGGCTACCCGTGTGAGAAGAGATGGAGTCGTTCAGGAAGAAGTTCAACAAGTGTTTGAACGATGTGTAAGTACAACATTAGTTTTGTCAGTAACTGATCAAAAGTGTATAATATATTTATATATGCTTTTATCTATATTTCAGGAGACTCTATCCCAGAGTATAATTCCAGCTGAGGACGAGGATTGCAGGAGCATACTGAGTCGGGTGTTAAATATCCCTGAGTATTCTGGGCGTGTGAGGGGTAAGAGATTTGGCGTCACTCCATCACAGCTTTATAAGAAGCCAAAGCAAAAAAATCCTAGCAATAAAGAAGTGATGGATACATTGGAGGAATTGAAAGCTCAGATTCGGGAATTACAGAAGGACAAAGAAAGATACATGTCGGAAAGGCGCGGTCCAGAGGGTAAAGATGCTAGTGAAAAAGATAGTATCGGTTGTCCGCAGAAGCTTCCGGAGGTAATTGTATATATTAAATTGAAATTAATTTAGCATAATTTTCTTAATTGACACATTAATCGGCATCATTATTTGTTTAGGGCATTTCACCTTGTCGGCTATATTTATCGTCACCGACTTATCGCTTGGTTGGCAAGGGAAAGGTGCATAACAATGTGAGAGAATTACTTCACCATAAACCGCTCCCTCCTTGATTTTTAAAAGTACCGGTTGATATTACGTTAGAGGGGGGTGCGTTGTTTCCTATATCAGATGAAGTTTCAGACGCAACAGTGGTGGGAGACACAATCGGAGCGTATGTTGCATGGCCGACAAATCTCATTTACATAGATGATGAGGTATGTTGAACACCATTATGAACCTAGCTTGTAATATTCAAATTTTTTACGACCCATAGATGAAAGTTATTCTTACATTTACGTTTTCTTATTTACATGATGATCTTAGACTCCTACAAAATCCAAATCAAAAGATGATAGAATTATTATGCGGGATACCGATTCAGCTGCATCAAAGAAACAGGTACTAATACAGTTACATGGTTATCTTATTATACATTAATTACTGAACTTATATATGACTTTTAGGTTCATGATCAGTAGTTGCAACAAGTCAGCAAGGGTAAGATGCCTGAAACTTCCAAGGTGCCCAACAAAAAAAAGGCCGAGTCAAAAAAAGCATTTGTTCCTCGATTTAGGATGTGCTTTGAAACATATTTAGGAACAACAGATGTGACTGAGGGTGGCATCCATCAAATACCTATGGAGGAAGGTATTATGTGACATTGTTCTAAATATGTGTTTATATTATGTTAGAGTTATACAAATATTCAGAGCACAAAGAGATGCAACAGTGCCAAAAAGCAAGGCTAACAACATCAGATGGATCATAGTGGAGGTATATTTTCCCATGTTTGACTGTTATAGTGGTTCTACTTGATAAAACTATTTAAACTATATATCCTGATAAATGTTCGTTTGTTTTTTCCATTTACAGTGTCCTCGTCAGCACAATGGGATTGACTGCAGATATTTTGTATTGCGCTTTATGAAGGAAATTATTCTTTCAGGTCAAATAGAGATTCCAATCATGGTATGGATCAATTCATAAGTTATATGATTCATTTTGATAATTAACCGATATTTCATCTGAGTAAATAGTTTTAAAATTAAATTGTGCATGTTCTGTTATATTATGTAGTACTTTGATGAATACAAGTGCGGTACTTACTCGAAAGGAAGATTGGAAGAAATTAAGGAGGACCGGTGTCAATTTATTCTTGAGTTGAGAATTGTATAACGTATCTATTTGTAAAGTTATCAAATTTGTAATTATATGTAAATTGAATGTATTTGTGATGTTGTAAATTGAATGTATTTGTGATGTTGTAATATATTCAAGCAGGTTTATGTGTATTAAAATGGTTATGGGCAAAGTGATGAATACACATAAATAAGGCCACAGTAATTGTTATATATAAGGCCAAACTGTTGAATTAAAGGCCTGAATTATAAGCAGGGGATGTATTTGTTATAAGCAGGTTTATCGAAAAATATATAAAAAATGTAATTATTTAAAAAAAAAAGATTAAAAATCGTGAAGAATAGACAGCGCTTTTAAAAAAAGCGCTGCTAAAGGGGGCAAAGAGAGGCCAAAAAAGCACTGCTATAGGTTGGAAAAGGGGGGGAGTCTAAGAAAGCGCTTTAAAAAAGCGCTGCTAAAGGGGGGGTCAAAGAAAGCGCTTTAAAAAAGCGCTGCTAAAGGGGGGGGCTAAGACAGCGCTGCTAAAGTGGGGGAGGGGAAACCGCTGCTATAGGGTGAACAAAGCGCTGCTAAAAGCGTTGCTGAAGGGAGGGGAAGGGGGAATAGGCAGCACTTTGAAAGCGCTGCTAAAAGCGTTGCTTAAGGGAGCCTTTAGCAACGCTTTTTCAATAAAAAAAAACGCTGCCTTTACCTTTAGCAGCGCCACTTTTGGCAGCGCTTTTAAGCGCTGCTAAAGGTCTTTTTTGGCATAGTGAGAGAACTTGAGAGGTGGGGCCAGTGTTTCAAAAATTGGACTGGACCAGCCAATCGAACTAGGAATCAGAAGGGTTTTTAGTCTAATTTGATTGTTGGATCGGATAATCCATTAAATTAGTGAGAGTCAGCCAAAATCGAACAAACCCGTAATAATCGGTGAACCGACGATTTTGAAAAACCGACAAATTAAATGCGTTTTTTCCTCAGACAAAACGATATTGTTTTGATAATAAAATAAAATTAAAATATAAGTAGACTTTGTTCAAAACTAATTTAAAACAACTTTCCCTCTTTAGAATTAAATTTATTAGAGATTGCACTTATTTTGTTATTTAGGTTATTTTGCAATTAGACTTTCTTCAAAATTTATTTTGATTTGTATTTTATACTATTTTGTTGTATGTGATGATTATATTTAGAATTTAAATTTAAAGAATGAACATGTAGAATTATAATATTTTGAAATTTTGAAATTTGATAAGTGTCATGATTTTTTTAGAGATCGAGTCATTAGATTTGACTGGTTTAATAACTATATAGTTTTATTCGATTGTGTTATTTAATTTATTAAACTGAATTATCTAATTTAATTCGATTTAGTCATACAATTCAACCACAATAAACCTTATCGTGAATCCGCCCACAATCCGTAGTGAAGTTAACTTTTCGAACAAGTAACTTCATTAACTTCATTAATCTATATAATCTTCTTATTTTGAACACTTACAATATATAATGCACTGTAATATTATAAGTGAAGAAAATAATAATTGTAGTAGTTACAAATTTCTGTCGGCGTGCATGATGCTATAATGCGTACGACACCATTGTGGAGTATTGTCATTCATTCCTGCAGTTTAGAATATATATATATATATATATATATATATATATATATATATATATATATATATATATATATATATATATATATATATATATATATATATATATATATATATATATATATATATATATATATATATATATATATATCAGCAAATCCATAACCAGCTGGATCCTCATACATTATCTTCGAGCAAGAAAATATTATAAATTTACATTTATTATCATCATCATCATGATGATTCCTCAATGTTCCAAAATTTGAAAAGACATGACCAAGTACTAGTTATACTTATTACACAAATTCTCACGATCAAGAAAAAAGACAGATATTAAACTTAACTAAAAATCTCTAGGATCAACAAACACATTCCCTAATTGTTTCTTCATCACCTCCACCACTTGATCATCACTGTGATTTCCAAGTCTTTTTGTGTACCACATATCATCAACACAAGTCATAGAATCAACTTGAGGAACATGGTCTATAAGTGGATCACCAAACCCTAATTCAGTTATCACAACTCTACACTCCTTTAACTTTTCTCCTATTCTTGATGTAAACCTCCATACTGATTCCATTAACCCTCCAAGATTCTCTCCTTCCCCATGAAGTCCATAAACAAAAAGAAACCCGAAACTGTTATTACACATTAATGATTCATTCCTCAACATTCTCAAACACGGACATATTTTGTCCTTTGCGTGATTTAATGTCGCATGAAGAAACCTAAGTGGTTGAGATAACTTTGTTTTGACATCTTGAACCTCATCAGCTTCAGAAGTGTTCCATAAACTAAAAATGATCCATGATGAGTTTGCTGTGACTTTATCTGTAAGAATAATGTCTTCGGCGCCGTTGAGTTTGAAGTCTTGATCTTTGTAATAACTAACCCAAGTTCCTAAACTGAGTTTCTCTTTGAGAATAATGTCCATGTCTAATGGATACAAATCTTTGGTTTTCAAGAGTCTTGTGTATAAAAAAATTGCTTGGTCTATATTTATTTTGTCTATTTTGATATCCTTGGAAATGTGGTTTATTATAGGGAAAGTAGTTGGGTGGAGAAATATGATAAGTGAACTGAGATTCACATAGTTGCATTTGTTGGTGAATAGGTTTTTTGAAGCATTGTTGTTCTTGTCAGTGGCTAGGAATGCATAATCAGCACCATTCCTTACCATCCATTCTTCAATTGAGGACACAAGTTTTAGTCCAACCCCCTTTCTCCTGCATATCATTCACTTCAATTCAACATCACTATTGCAAGTTACAATTATAATATGTATTATGTAGAGAGCCGTCTTAAATTTTTGGAAGTTTGCAGATAAATTTCAGTTCAGCTATAAGAAAATAATAAGACATTCTATATAACTACGGTTTAACCATGACAAAATTTGAGCCAGGTGTAGTAATTCGTCTTGCATTTCTTCAAAGACGGTGCAAGTAAGTGCAACTGCTTATTACCTGTGTGTAGGAGAGACTCTAAGGCCTAGTATGCAACCCATCTTGAAGAGTGATCCAGAGGAAGTTTGCACACTTTTAATGCAGCCTCTAACAACTCCAACAAGCTCCCTGCATTCAACAAGCTCAGCAACCTGCACAACATTATAAGTCATGATATATAATTAGAAGTAGCATGCATTTGATAATGTGAATGTGGATTTGAAAGAGGATTTTATGAAAATGAGACAAAATGAAAAATATTATAGTTATTATTACTAGTACACACCAACATAACACGAATGGGATAGAACCTAATCCTAGATAAAGGGTCAGTGATCATGTTGGTGAAAATGGAGAAACCCTTTTTAGTAGTTCCAATCTCACAGTTTCTTTCAAGCTTCCCTACAACCTTAACATCTCTATCTTCATCAAACTCTCTAATAACAACCTTGTTGTTGGCCATTCTTCTCCCTAAAATGAAGCTAGCTAGGTAAAGGTGGGAAATGCAAAGTGTGGGAATAGAAATAATTTTCCTGTGATTGGATCTTTCTTGAATAACTCATATTGTGTCCTTATATATGGTGGAAAACATTTGGTAGACAATTCATTTTGTAGTATTTCACAACACATAACTTGATGTGTTTGTTGAAAGTAGGATACTATGCTAGTTTCTACTAGTAAAAGGCTGACAATATTTGTTACAATCGCTTTCATTGGACAAGAAAATGAAGAGAAAAAAAAGGTCATGAGATAGTCAAGTACATATATAGAGATGGATGATGGAAGTAGAGTTTTACACATAGATGTTGATGATTGATTACTGCTAATGTTGAGAATATATATATATATATATATATATATATATATATATATATATATATATATATATATATATATATATATATATATATATATATATATATATATATATATATATATATATATATATATATATATATATATAGATAGATAGATAGATAGATAGATAGATAGATAGAGAGAGAGAGAGAGAGAGAGAGAGATTATTGGGGTCAATTTGGGGATTAACACAAGGGGCAATTTTTTATTTTGGGGTTTTTTTTAAGAGCAAGACACGTTTGTGAAAAACATACCATATACTCATCCAAAATCTTAAGATGATAGGTGTGTGAGTTATTCCACTTATAAATGCTCAAGTCTCCATATTCATAACCAATGCGGGACTTCTCCACACAACTCGCACTTGTAATTCTTTTACAATACTCTCCCTCAAGTGTGAGTCTATCCACAATACTCACTACAAGAAAAACACTCTTCAGCCATATGATATAGTGACGTTAAAGTCACGTAAAAAATCGAAACTGCTAGAAGCACATGGAAAAGTAAGAAAAAATATTTAATCAAAATGTTGTGACGTGGTAATCACGTCGCAACACAAAAAGTACAATGGATAAAATAAAGGGATCAAGCGTGTAGAGGTAGCAAATGGGGGGAAGATTTGAAAATTTGAAAATTTTAAGCTGTGACGTGATAATCACATCGCAACATGAAATCTTTTATTTAAAAAAGAACATTATGGATGAAACAGACTCTAACGCTGACTTGATGGTAGGGGTTGACTGACACATTTATTTGTGTCATGATTCTCACGTCGTAACTCTTAATGACTGTTGGATGTTGCCACGTGAATTTCGCTTTGCTAGGTTGGGACGTGAATTTTACTTCGTTAGGTTGCGACGTCAATTTTACTTCGCTGATAGCGTTATATATGTTCCAACTTTCTCTCTCTTGCACAGACCTGCTTCTTCATTTTTCTTTCTCAGCAAATTCCTTTTCTCTTCTTCATTCTAGAAACAATTATTTTCTTCATCTTCAACTGATCTTTAAAATTTCTTCCTCCAATATTCTCAATTTCAAAAAGTAATTTAATTTAGTTTAATTTTTTGTTTTTTATTTGTTAAATATTGTGTTGATTTTTTAATTGTATATAAAAATAACATTGTTACTTTTTTTCTTCAAGATTCATCAAGAGATATATTGGATTGTTGGTTCTTTAAGACTCATTAAGTATCAAGGGTTCAAGATTAAAGCTTTTTTTTTATCTTCATTGAGGTATTTAAAAATTTAATTTTTTTCCAGATTTAAATAAATATATTGGTTGTTGGTTAATGGTTGTAGTTATTGCAAATTTAAATGTAGGATAATTTTTGGTGTGGCTCGTCGAATTTGTAGCTAACCTTGGGATGCAAGAAGCCTGTATTGGCTGGGTATACAGATTCGAATCTAGCTGGAAGATTAGATGATCGAAAATCTACTTCGGGGTATATGGTGATTTTTTTCGGGGGAGTCATGGCTTGTCAATCAAGGTTGCAAAAGTGTGTTGTACTCTCTACTACCGAAGTCGAGTTTTTAGCCGTCATGGAAGCGTCAAAAGAGTTGTTATAGTTAATGAAATTTGCAATGGAACTTGGTGTAAAACAAGAAATGTATGTCTTGTTTTGTATAATCAAAGTGACATTCACTTATCGAAGAATTCCTCCTATCACTCGAGGTCGAAGCATATTGATGTTCGTTATCATTGGATTCATTACGAATTAGATTCCAAGTTGACGGAGCTTGAGAAGATTCACACCGATGACAATGATTCAGGTATGTTGATGAAGGTGTTCCTTAGGGGAAAGTTTGAGTTTTGTTGCTCGGTAGTCGGGTTGGTGTTGCCATCTAACTAGTCGATCGGGGGAGTTTGTTAGGATATTACTCCTATTTTGAATGACCCAAATGAATGTGGGATAGTAGCTCATGTGTGTGCAAGCCTTTGTTATTATAAAACAAAGAGAATTAGGTCAAAAATTTATAAGGTGAGAAACAACAAAAGAAAAACTAAGAGAAGAGTGAAATTTCCGCAGTCCCAATTCTGCATAGAGCAGTCCCACGAGATCGTATTTTTCTCATAATCCAACCTTCGAATCGTCCTGATTTTTTTGACAATATTCACCACTCATAGTAGTACATTCTAAACGGTGGAGATCGGATTTTGAGCAATGTAAGTCTGTCTGAGGAGTCCACTTCTGAGGCGCAGTTTTTTGTGGTTGTTTTGGTTTATTGTCTCTCTTGATTCTTGTTATATTCCAAGATTGATTGTAGATCTTGATGATGTTAATGTATTACCTCTAGATAGTGTTAGAGAGAACCTTCATTGTATCCATTGTTTGATTATGGTGGAGATTTAAGTGGCATACGGGTTCCGTGGTATTTTATTCCTAGTTAATGGAGGTTTTTTCACGCTAAAATTGTGTTGTGTTGTTTAATGTATTTTGTTGATTGTCGTTGCATTTGTGTTTACTGTTAAATTTGGTAAAAAAGATACAAGTTTCTATTAATACTTAAGGGATCAAAATCGAAAATCTCTCGGACATATTTGTGTGTTTATTACTTGTGAAAATCATAACGTTGTCGAAGTTATCGTAACTCTGTGGAAATGTTTGAAAATGTTTGTTGTGATTGCTTGTAAATAAGAAAAATGATTCAAAGAATGAAGGGACTGGAATTAAAATGCAAGTAAAGTGAAGAAAATACTTTGAAATCGAAGGAAAAAATCCAAGAAAAGAAAGGGTTGAAATTAAAGTGCAAATAATGTACATTGACAGGAAAAATAAAGGAACTTGAAAGGGACTTTAAATGCATAATAAGACTTTTAAGGTAAAAGTACTGAAAATGTATAAAATAGTGGAACGTATACGTACATATTTCCTTACTCATTTCTCAAGATGCATGTACTTTGAGTTTACAGAAATATGTGTATAATTGCGGACCCTTTATAAAATGAACCTAAGTATCCTTATATACTACTCTATGATAATTGTCTAAGAACGGTAGACTGCTGTCACACCCTAATTTTTGACCGTAAGATCCCACCTATTTTCGTTCTTCTCGTTGTTTAACGTTTGATTTAATATTTGTTTTACGGCTAACCAACTTGTGCAGCATGTAGTATTTCCGAATATAGATAGTATTCATCCTCAATTGCAAGGACATGGTTCACTTTGACTTATAAATTCATTAGAGAATTTAAGCAGGATTCGTTTGTTCTAGAATTCATGAGTGCGAGGGTGTCAGTAACCCCTTTCAGCATCTTCCCTCAAAGCCTCTTACTTTTGAAAGACTGAGATGTGCAAATTCCCTCCTTTTAAGCCTTGAAGGGAAATTTAAACTTCGCTATTGAAAACCTATGAATCATGTATATCAGGTTAAGAGTATTAAATCAAGGGTGGACAAAAGACTTTCGCATTGATGTCATCAGATTCTAAACACAAGACCTTTATTCATTTCAGAAGCTTTTAAGATGACTGAGTGAGAGATTTGTTTGGTTCATATATATAAGAATTTTGAGCACAAGTCAAGTCCAATATCATCTTTCAAAAAGGGGACACATGAGATTATTCAGTTGCAGAATCGTGATACAATATGTGTGCATAGGCTTCCATATTCATAATCTACTAAGCAATTTTACAGCGGGCTTTCCCCTTCTATACTATGCACATAATGGATGTGATATAACAACAACAGCAGCAGGAGTATTTGCTATTATGAGATACCAACTCAAGAGTTCTTTCAATTATTTACAAACATACAAGGCAATTATAATTTAGAACCTCAGTAAGTTACAACATCAAACCCTTCCAAATTCACAATGTACGCTAAAAAAATTCATGCCTATTGGAGTAAGTGATGCTATTTGTTCACTTAAGAGTACATATTACGTATACAAGCATGGTGAAGGTTTTAAAACATGGATTTTGGGGATAGCTAAACAGCAAACATCAGTGGCCAAGTGGTGATGCATTTTCTGCCAAACTCTGTGTCTGCTTAGTTTACTGCCGCAACTTTCCTACACCACAGCCGTCATCAACATTTACGGTTTCACACTTTAACCAATCAGCAGCCTTGTCAACATCCTGTAAACATAAACCAACAACTATTGATCATTAGCAAGCAGCCAAAATCAAGACCAGTTCAATCCCATAATCCATAAGGTCTTACCAGCAGGACATGTCAAAACCCAAGTCTCAGCTCCATTCGGTGATATCCTCGTCTTCCTGCGTAAAACAAGTCACAAACAGAGTTAAACCATAAGCGCTTTGCCCGTTTCATTATCAGAATACTATTCTTCCTCGCCAATCAAGGCATATTGAAGCCATTGGCTATTGAGCTCATTAGACTGATTATTGACGACAAACCACAATGGTCACCCTAACAATATAAACGATCTTGTTGATATGGTATCTTCTTTATCAGCGTTAAACTTATCAGGTGTTAGACGTGCAGAACAATAGAATCTTTTGAAACCTAAGATGCAGATGGAAGTTGATAACCACACTAATGTTATGTTGAACATACCCAACAATGCTAATTTGCCCAAACACAATGAGCTTACAACATAGCTGAATACAATTAGTTTGAACAAGCGAACCATCACCACTACAA